AACAAACAAGGCTCTCTCTCTTACACAATCATCCGAGCTCTTCTTAAACTCTGTTTTAATTAAATATTGAGGTTGTTACTGGAAAGCAGTCAAAACTCTTTGGGAAACAATGGACAGTATGACAAGCGATTGAAAAAGGAGCTGTATCACCTCTTCCACCTTCACAGCTCAGATAGAGTATTGTTTCTGAATTATTCATTACTCCGTTGCTCTAGAGAGTCCTTGGACATGTATCTTTGCCCAGTGGTATTAAGTCAAAGTCACTTGTCTTCAGATGCTACAACGGTAGCCTTTTAATCATGGTCACCCTTCAGTAGAGTGTGGTTACACAAAGACTTAGCAGAGAAAACAGATAGTGAGTTTGTAGCTGGTGTAAGACATCCTCCGGCAGCTGTTAGGACACATTGTGTTTAATCAGAAGTTGCAATTGAATACTAATTTAGTTCCTAACAAGGGTGATTGAAGTGAATCCCAATATCTGCTCAGCTAATTGTTGCCTTGTAGTAAATCCATTACGGCTACATGTCTTAAGCCCCTTTCCCAACAGGCAAAGAACCTACTTGCACCCACTTAAATCCGACACTAACTAAATAAAAAACGAATAAGAAGCGTCTTTGTTAGTATTTCCAATGTTCCAAGAATCACAAAGTTTGGTTTGAAAGTTTTAAAGAGTGTAGAAAGAAGTAACCACTTCTTAATTTTACCTGTGGAAAATGATGTACTCTTTGGACTTACATCTGAAAATGCAGACACGTTTATAACAAAATGTTGTTGGGGATGGATAATATAGCATGAAATAACCATGTGCTGCGAAGAATAAGTGGCTGGAGATGTACAACCTCGTAATCTGGCAGTGTCAAATGTACTGATTGCTTTATAATGCAAACATATATCTATCCATCCATCCATCCATCCATCCAACTATCTATCTATCTATCTATCTATCTATCTATCCATCCATCTATCTATCTATCTATCTATCCATCCATCCATCCATCCATCCATCCATCCATCCATCCATCCGTCTATCTGTCCGTCCGTCCGTCCGTCCGTCCGTCCGTCCGTCCGTCCGTCCGTCCGTCCGTCCGTCCGTCCGTCCGTCTGTCTGTCTGTCTGTCTGTCTGTCTTTCTTTCTTTGGGTGAACCCAAAATGAGTTTGGGTTCACATGAGTTTCTTCTGACGAGGTTAGAAGTCATTCTTCACTGTTCTTTCCTTCTGTTTGTGGCTGGGCTTGGGAGCCAGAGTCTGCTTGTCCGTGGTCATCAAAGTTATTGGGGTGAGTCAGCTACAGCTCTCTGACCTCTGCTATAGGCAAGTCCCAAGGAATGCCCAGACTTTATTGAACTGTCCTGATCACAGCCTAAGTTCTTTCAGACAGTAAATAGAGAGTCCCTCCTCAGAGGATAAAACACTCAAAGTCTATTTTGTTGACGCAGCAATGTATAGCCTGTACTTGCGCATGCAATCTAGCACCTAAACACCTTATGTGTTTGGCATTGGGTGGTGTATGTCTTCATTAGAAGTGATCCCGCATTGCGGCAAGAGTTTGTCCCTGTGATCTATCAAGATTGTTGCATAATGTGATTATGTTTTTTATGTGTTCGTACTGTATACTTGACCAACCAATCTTCTGATGGTTTGACTTGGCTTGGGGTTCAAGAGGTTTACTTAATGATTTTACCTCTGGACTACCCTTTTTTCAGAGTAAAATGCCTCATCATTGTCGTTTCAAATGTGATGTCATTATGAAGACTTCCACATTGCAAAGATTGGAATGTCTGGACTTAAAACCGCAATATGTTTTGATATATAAATGATTATATATCTGTGTGTTGGACCATACAACCCAGTAGCCCACTGTATACTTACCATGGTGGGATGCAAAGACTCTAATATGCTGTTGGCAAAACATTAATCAACTTGTCACAGCTTCTGTGGTTGAACATGTCTTGGTTGACAAACCCAAACAGTCCACTGCAATTGATTCATTTGCCAGGCACCATGGTTGCAATCATGTTACCAAGTCAATTCAAGCATGAGCCTGTCATCAGCTTGTACATTTGTTTGGTTTCTAACATCGCTCCAGACCAACTCTGCTGTCAGTGCTGTTCAGTGCTCTACATTGTTGAGGCAAATACCATTTGAAGTTACATATTTTCAATTAAAGACAATCTGAATGGAGTTTTTACAATAGAAATAAAGTACAAGTAATATCTAACTTTTACATTTCCCTTTCAAACCCCAAAATGATGGATTTCCAAATGATAAGAATCGCCATGAAAAGAAAGTCAGACAAGACAGACAAAAACGTACTATTACAACAATCTTACACAATAAAAGATGCAGAATTTAGAAGAACATGAAACTCTTGCTCAGAAGGACATTGCCCTGATTCTGAAACTCCAAGACCCGAGGGTGATAATATATGCAAAAGGTGCTCAGAAGTGAAACATGGGGAGCCAGAGCTGAAGAAAGGTGTAGAAGACAGAAAGGAAGGCAGAGAAGGAAGACATGACGTGATGTGAATCACTGGGGACCAAAAAAAAGTTCTTGCAGGAAGGCTTCACTTTGAGCTAGAGGAAAATCAGGAGTGTATCTGAAACCTGACTGGAGTGGAAATGTCCCTGTACTGCCTGGGAGACAGGAAGTGGGCAAGCTCTGACAGAGTAGCCAGTGATTGCAAAGTTTGTCACGGCCTGCGGTTCATTTACTGGACCTTTTACTGTTTACAGACTTTGAGTGGCTATATCTTTCCTCCCTAAGTGTTTATTTTGGTGCTGCCATGGGTGCAAGGTTATGTTTTAAAGTGGGGGAGCAAACTTGAAAAGATACATAATTGTAGTAGAGTCTTGTGGCCTTCAGATTCAAGACAGTCATCTTGTCTAGATAAATTAGATGTAGGGTGTATATATACCAATGACGCATAAAGAAAACAATTGGTGGTTCAGGAAAGGAAATTATTATTTAAAGAATGGCTATTTTATATTGGAAATTCTATTAATAAAAATATTATATAGCCCAAAATGGTAGTAATAATAATAATATATTTAATTTATATAGCGCCTTTCAAGGGACCCAATGCTGCTTTACATATGGTAAGGACAGAGAACAAAACAAAACAATCAAAGTAAAAAAAAAAAATTGCAGTCGGAGTGGCAGCAGGGGGACTGTGATGGGTTAGGGGTCAAAGGCCATGGTGACCAGGTGAGTTTTTAGTGATGTCCAGAGAGGCAATGAAAATGTCCAGGGTTGTAGAACTCAGTGAAAAGAACGTTCCAGAGGGTGGGGGCTGCAACACTGAACGCCATGTCTCCAACAGATCGGAGGCGAGAGTGGGGACTCGAAAGCAGAGCACCGCAGATTCAGAGAAGGGGGGTAGGGGTGGAGGAGGTCCACCAAGTACTGGGGGGCGAGGGCATGGAGAGACTTGTACTTGAGGAGGAGTGTTTTGTACTGGATCCGGGACTTGACCGTAGTAGGTTTTTTCATTAGTCAATTTATTGAACATGTTAGAAACAAAACTAATAATAATAATAATAATAATAATTAATAATAATAACAATAACAAAAAGCAGCAAAATATATATTTTTTTAACTTTTAAGGTATCCAAAAAAATAAGAATTCTCAAATAGTTTCCGTCATGTTCAAAAGGGGCAAGGTGACTGCATATACATGTGTTTACCCTTAACTACATCCAAAAAATCAACAGTGATGATGCATATTAAAGGGCCCATGTCATGCTTTTCCGGTTATTACCTGTCCCCTTGTGTGTTATGAAGGTTTTTCTGCATGTAAATGGTCTGCAGAGTCAAAAACCCTCAAAGTACACCCTGTAGCGAGTAAAACTCTAACACAGAAAAGACCTGTCTATGCTGCCCCAGAACACCTCGTTGGAGATTTCTCATTTTCCATTGTTTGCTTCCTGGGTTCTGTGACGTGTGAACACCCAAATCAACAACAAATTACCGGATTGGCCCAAATGGACCAATCCGCGGAGCACCTCACACACCAGGATCCCTTGGCTAACTAACAGGGAGTCCCCATTGACTTGCATAGAGCTCCCTGAACGCTGGTAATAGACGAGTTGGGATCGCGGAGAAATGCTCTCCGCAGACCCATTCTCACAGCGTTATAAACCTTTTTCTTACTCAATATCAAGCCACACTTTTGTTTTTAGGCTTATTGCTGTGAGTGTTTGTGTGTGCTCAGGATGAGTTTCGCTTGTTCTCGCTGTATCGCCGACCCGGAAACCTGTCCGCTCCTCGCAACAGCTCGCAACAGCTCGCAGCAACGAGCCTCGCAACGTCCCGACCAATCAGAGCACACTGGGCTTACAGGGAGTGGGGGGGGCAGGAGCTCCAACAAGCCGTTTAGGACAGAGAGTGAATACCTGGTGAATACACATACTTTACAGAGATGCTGTATGAGAAACCAATGTGATTTTGGAAAATTGCACAATTTAAATCTATTCTAGTAGACCTCAACAATGGAAATATGATCAGTAGAAATGGCCATGACATGGGACCTTTAATAGCCATGTAAAGCTTTACTTACTACATCGCAGCAAAACGATAAGTGTGCTGACGCTAATTGTGCTAGCAAAGTTAGCTAATGTTGCTATATTGGTTAGGTGTTTCAGCAACAATACATTTCTTAATTTAGCCAATTAGATTGGCTGGATAGTGGGCCAAGCAGGTAATGTCAACATATTCAAATATTCAAGTCTACAATTGTTTTTTAACCTGGGTTAGGGTTAAATTAGTGAAGAACTGTGCCTGACTTTGTCCAAATAACATAAGGAAAAGGAAAGTTATATCAATAAGTTCAATAACTCAGCAGAAAAGTTATATTTCAGCCCAAGGTTGAAGACAAGGTAAAACCATGAGCTGCTGTGCACTTAAATGTGATATTTACTATTTATTTATTAAGCGACAGACACAATAATTCATCGATTATTTTCTTAGTTGCTAAACATTTTTCTGCCTCTCTCTTTCCTAGATGACAAGAGCCCGTGTCACCTACCCGAGGCTCCTGGTCCCTGTCGAGGACTCCTGACGCGATACTTCTTCGACAGCATGAGTCAGCAGTGCAAGCATTTATTTTACGGCGGCTGCTTTGGCAATGCCAACAACTTCAGAAGCATGGCGGACTGCCAGGCCAAATGTCAGAACCCAGGTAGGCCAGATTGAACTTTTAATCCTTTTACAGTAAAGGCGGGCAAACAGCCAAGCTGTCCAAACACCCACATTATTAGGTTATATTCCGAAACAATAATTACATCTGGACAGGTATTGTGTCCAGCAGCTCTGAATGCTCCAAAGACATTGTCATGTGGTGGGAAATTGACTGTATCTCAAAAGAGGAAAAATAAACGTGTTACTCTAAGGCCTAATAAGAACCAAAGTGTCTACACCTAAACCTTATAAGTAAGCTGTGACAGAAAATATTTTATTTCGCTGACATTACCTCAAAGGCATGCAAGGTTTAGTTTATACCTCTGGCTTCACAGCTGCTGCACAACAAGCCAAACTCATTTCGTATTGGTGACATGATCGAAATAGTTGTCTGAAAATTAACTTTTGAATGAGTCTTAGCTGACCATGAAATCACATCCCACCTTGATTTAGCATTTGAATCGTTTTAAAGTGGCCAAGGCACACTCAATTATTCCACACTATAGTCGCAGAAAATAACGAGTAATTTGCTCGAGTGTGACCAATTCTGCAAACAGCCCATGTACTGAAAATCGATGGAAAAGCTTCTTTTTTTTTTAAATAACAATTTTATTAACTGGTTTTATTAGTATTTTATATGTGTTTGCAGAACACCCTTTCCAGTCTGACACTGATGAGATTAATCTTGCTTTAATGATGATTGATCATCCGGATTTAATTAAATCTGTTCTAAATATAGGCATGAATTCCTTTGATTCATGTTTCATAGATAGCTGTGGAGACAGATGTTCTTTGATGGTACTTTTTCTATTTCTTTTCGTCAATATAGCAGAACCCACTGAGGCACCAGAAGGCCACATAATGTCTGCGAGAAGATCTGACATTGTGCAGCCGACCAGGATAACTGGTAGGACTGAATGTACACCACGCTATCCTTCAACTAAAAGTGTTGATACTTGTTGTTCTTGTCTAAAACACAGAATTAAACTAGTAAAATATCATTTTCAATATCATTCTAAGAATTCTTTATCAGATCAACTTCTTTCAATCAAAAACTGGTTTGTGTGTTCAAGTAAATCAATCCAACACATTTTAAAAAGTGTAGTTTTGCAATCATGTGTAATTTGAATTATCTGCTTTCAGTCCAATTACTCTTACATACTAAATGTATCTGCAGTTTTGTTGTTGATCTGAGTTTGTATCTTTATGGTTTATTCTAAATATTGTAAGTTGCTTTGGATAAAAGCATCAGCTCAATGAAATGTAATGCATTGTAAAAGAGCTATACCAAGTATGTCTCTCTGTGGATGGAGTATGGATCTCATGCCAGCAGCCAATTAGCATAGCTTAGCATAAAGACTGGCAAGGGATACCAGATGTCTTGTTAGAGAATCAAACAACAGCTTGACAGACAAAAGTTTGCATGTAGTTGAAGCGAGATTGAAATTGCCATGAAACATGGTAGAGTTGGTACATGGAAGTGTTGGGCAGATGGATAAACATTTTTTTTTGTCTGCATGCAGTCTTCATGCTAAGCTAACTATTATGACAAACGACAGATCCCTTGACATATGACTTTGTTTCTCAGGGGAATCAACTGTAGCTGAACCTCAGGTGCAAGCAAATGTCACTAATCCAGAGCCAAAAGGTAAGAAATAATATATATCAACATAACAAAAAACACACACACAGCTGGTGCATGCGCTACTAGCTAGCTTACAGCTAACATCTGTACAGTTGGTACATTAGCAGTGTTTAGCAATTAGGACTGCAAAACAATCCTGCATTAGATTTAAGGAAAACATTATTGCTGCTTTCTATCTGAACACGAAAGATTATTCAGTGATTTCCACCAGGTGTGCTTCTCTCTCACCTCCCAAACAAAGAAGAGTTGAATCGCACACAATTGTCCAGTCAAGATGGCGGCAGAGATAGCCAAAACAGGGATTTATTCATCTTGTATCTTGCCTAAATGTGGTGTATCATAACTTTGTATGGAATTAATCTGCAGGCGCTTATGTTCGAAATTAGATTACCTGTCATCCGGGGATAATGCACAAAAGGAAATAATTCAATCAGATATAAGCATACTGGGACGGGACGGAGTGGCGCAGTGGGCTGTGTGTTTATCATCAGATCAAGGGTGGTGTTGGGGAACTCCAGTTCAAAACCCGCCACTGCGTCAGGCCGTTGTGTCCTTGGGCAAGACACTTCACCTGAATTTGCTCCTGTGGGTATTGTCCACAGTACATGACCGTTACATGTGTGTATTTGTAAAGCGCTTTGAGCATCTGGAAAAGCGCTATAATAAATGTAAGGAATTATTATTATTAATTATACTGAGTTGCTGATAACAGTTTTTAAATCCATTCACCTTGAAGATTTCTGAAATGTTTTAAGATGAGATGTCCTTTTTCTGTCTCATCACATTAATGTAGACAGCGAGGCAGAAAGCCTGAAGCAGTACATGCTGTGATAATTCATAACAGAAGTCCCAGAGCAGCAGACATTTTGGATACATGAACTGTTGTTAAGCAAAATCAAATCTATCATCCTGTCTTCAGAGTAGCAACCAGTCCATGCTGAATTTCTCAGTTATGTTTATAACTCCAATTAAGCTCCAGTTCTTTTAATTAACCATTGTGTCTTGCCAATAACTTCACTGTAATAAAATAATAACTCCAGCTGCAGTGATGCATAGATGGTAGACAGCTTGCAAAATTACTTCCGCAGTGCGAGGCAAAGGGCAACATCGAAATGCATACTGTAGCGTCTCCTTCCTACAATTTGTTACGTATTCCCACTTACAATTTGTTTGGTGAATTAGTAGTAAGGGAATATATATCATCGTTCAGGGCTCTTTTGTACCCAACAAGAGAGCACGCACCTGGACTGCTTCCCTGAACTCATTCAAGAGAGTTATAATTTTTAAGAATCCAATTTCCTTCTTGTCAGGAAATATAGTGAGGGGAAGATTCAGGATAAGTTCGCCTTAGTGCTGCCTCCGCTACCAGTCTATGTTCTTTATTTCCGCCATGAGATCTCCAGCACAATAATATATTTCAGAAACAATGCTGGCATCAAAGTAAAACACCTCCAGAACTTACATTTGACAGATTTAGAGGATATATTTTTAACAATTCATATCAGTCATCAATATCAGATGATTTTTTTACTGCTGAAATTAAATTGGGGCATTTAAAGTTTGAAGGCATTAGATAATTGTCATAAACAGTATCCTGAGTATGATGGTGGTCCGCCAAGCATATATTCTATGTTGAAATAAAATACTGACATCTTGTGGTTATACAATGACGTACACTCTCAGTGCCATTGGGAAAAGCTGTATTTTCGAGCTGTGTGACTATAGATCATAATTGCATAACAAGCTAAAGCAGCTCTGAGTTAAGGATTTGATTCCGCTACCACAACTATCAATTTTCATCTGGCCCTTTCTTAGAATAAAAGTTTTTCGACATTGTGCAGTTTTGAATTTGGTAGAATTCTTAATGGATTTTCAGTGAAATGGTATTCAAAAAATGTATTCAAGCTTGTGAAATTCTTGCAGGCTGAAAAAAATGTATTGAATGTTTTTTGACAAAACATTTTTTAAGGAACATAATAAATCAAATACCAACTGAAAGCCTGAAATAACCCTCCATTGGTTTTTCAAATTCCAATGTGATGTTTCATTTCAACCAACCAATGTGGATTTATGGTTTATCAAAATATGTGTTTTTCTCGGTCTTGGGATTGGGGTTAGGGTTAGAGCAAAACAAATTAACAGCCCAATTTATGTTCATGATACAAAAACTTTGGTAAATTATATTTTAATAAGCTTTCCAGTTTCTCCCTCAGATATCGTCAGTGGCGTTTTTATATGTACAAAAGTGGTGGGGCACAAAAAATGTAGATGTCTATATATAAGCTTCTGCAGTGACGTGCAGTGAGGTTCATGGCTGGTGAGGCACTGACTCTTCAGGTTTACAAATATTATATTTTGACTTAAATCAAAATATAATATTATTTTCAAAAGCTTTTTTTGTCTGATGCTTCGATTCATTTTAAACAGACAGTTCAACATAAGGATACCCAAAAAATGTAATTTTATCATTTAAATATTGAATTGTTCTGTCTTAGTAAGATCCCATTTTCAATAAAATTGCGGTCTTACCTTGATTTGAAGATGAAGTCCATTTGCCTATCCTTCTGGACAAAAATCTCTATTACTTTTTTGTAAAAGTCCTCCTTATCTTCTTGTAGTTTCAAAAGTCGAATCATAAATCTAATCGATAGATTTATGATTAAAAAATTATAAAAGTAGGGTAGACATGTGGATATTATCCGGCTGAACAAAACGTGCATTTATCTAACAGGTACGTTTCCCACAGATCTTATTTCGAGCTATTTTCTAAAATCCTATGGAGAAATCTCATTGCTTTTTTGTCGAGGGAAGCCACGCGCAGCTTACTTCCGGGTTTTAGGACGCGTCACTGCAGCTCTCTCGTCTCCTCTTCACACACCACACTTTTCGCGGCACACGTACTTACAGCCAATCAGCTCTGAATTATGTGAGATGACGTATGGTGGGGATGGCAGCTCAGTGCCCCTCTGGTCATTATTATTTTGCCACACACATTAAATAGAAAAATACTCTGAGCATGCGCAGTGTAGTTTTTACAGTCACCATTCAGTTAGACAGTGAGAGGGAGGGGCATGATCGGGTTTTGTCCCACATGGCTCTAAACAGCTCAATAGGCACACACTGTAGACACTAATTAGAAGAACACAGACTAAAACAGCAATGTACAGACGAATCAGATGATTAAACATGATCTTAAAATATATTTTATATATTTTGTATTTATTTATTTTTTGCATTTTTTTGTAATCATTATTTTTAATACTTTCTGCTGACAATAGGTGGGGCTTTGCCCCACCTGCCCCTAATGACCAGTCGTCACTGGATATCATGGTGGTGATTGTTGTCTCATTGAAGTGAAGTGCAGAGGATTTCTTCTTGTATAACATTCTTAAATAATTATAATCAATAATAATAATAATATCAATATTGATGGATAGTTAAGATCATTAGGTGAAATAGATGCAAGTTGATCCCAACAAATTAGTAATACATTTAGGCCCCGTTTACATGGATACGGTTCGGGTTGTATCTGCTACTTTTCTCTTTCGTATAGCCCGTTCGTTCACACGAGGCCGTAAGGGACCCGCTGAAACGGACCCCTCAAACGGTAACGGGTCCCAAGGTGGATAGATCTGCGGACGGAACGCTCTGGGGGGCCAAACGGCTCAGTGTGTACGTCCTATACGATCATTTTCCTGATAACAATGAAGCCATAGCCCCGCCTCTCCCCACCTCTGCTGCTCACTGCTGTAGCATGGTCAGTAGCTACTGCTACTGACCATGCTACAGATGTTAGTGCAAAATCTACAGCTCCTCTACCACAACCATCAGCAACAAGTGGACATAGAGAACTACATGAACTACATGTTGCTAAATCCACCGTGGAGAATAAACAGAAGGGCAACCAGGCAACATGGCAACCATGCTCGGGGGTCTTCTTCGCTGCTTTTGGTGTATTTTGTGGCGGAAGTACAGCGCCACTTACAGGCCAGGCATATGTAAGGCAAGGCAAGGCAAGGCAAGTTTATTTATATAGCACCTTTCAACACAAGGCAATTCAAAGTGCTTTACAAAAATGGAAGACATTAAGAAAATGGCATTTAAAATCAGTCATTAAAAAGAAAAGATAATAAAATAAACATTAAAAGAAAAAATACATGGATAAAAGTTACAGTGCAGTTTAAGATGTGAATAGTTCAATTAAAAGCAGCGGCAAAAAGAAAAGTCTTCAGCCTGGATTTAAAAGTAGTAAGAGTTGCAGCGGACCTGCAGGTTTCTGGGAGTTTGTTCCAGATATTTAGAGCATAATAACTGAACGCTGCTTTACCATGTTTAGTTCTGACTCTGGGGACAGAAAGCTGACCAGTCCCTGAAGACCTGAGAGTTCTGGATGGTTCATAATTTAGCAGTAGGTCAGACATGTATTTTGGGCCTAAACCATACAAGTACATGTACTACAGCGTCTCCAGCGGGTCGAGCGGTCTCGTGTGAACGGACACGTTTATTGAGCCGATTGCGTGTGAACGGAAGACTTTTTTGATATCGAATTCGGTTCATCTTCGTTTGCGTTCCCATGTAAATGGGGTCTTAGTATAGGGCCTTAGCAGTAGTGTTTGCCTGTATGTAAATATGTGTCCTGCAGTTTTGGAAAAGAGCACTCATGGATGCTAACAAGCTTCCCTGTGTGCCTCACCATGAAGCCAGCTAGAGAATAAATCAAAGAGGATAGCTAACACCACCCTGTGGGAAGCCATGATAACAACTCTCTTTTTCCAATCTTTCAATTTTAGTCTGAGAGCCTCCAGATAAAAATATATTCCAAAGCCAGACTGAAGCTTATGGTGAGGAGATGAGCCTGTGTGGAGTTAAAAGCTAAGCAAATGTAGATGAAAAGAAACATGAGTCTTCTTTAGGTGCTCCGCCTCCTTCATGACTCCTTAGTAAAGATGGAACGGATCCAAGAGATCCAAGTAAATCATGATATAACATTTCATAGACTAATGCAGTGTCTGTTTGGCCATTTCCCTGGCCTCTGGCATTGCTGCAGGCCATTTCTAGAGAACCACTCATCTAAACAACTTCACACTTGACACAGGGCTTCCTTGGGTATTTAATAGAGTGGTGTAGGCCGACCCATAAGTTAGCATTGCAAGGGCTCCTTTGACAAACAAGCAATGGGAATGTTATCTCTATGCTACGTATACATTTTGTTTAGCAGGATAGTCTCCCCATATTAACACAGCTTTTATGATTTTGGAAGCATAAATGCTTTTGAAGCCTGGTTTATTTTAATATTTATTTTGTCATCCTTTTTTTCTTGGTTAGTTTATATATAGTATATGGTACATTTCAAATACAAAGGCAATTCAAAGTGTTTTACATTATCATTAGCACACAAGAAAACTTAAATAAAGCAAAATGAAAAGAAGACAATAAATAAAGACATTAAGGGTAGTTAAAATGGTCATTGTCAATACAGATAATGCTGCAAGAGGTGCAGAAGTATAATATGAAAATGTTGTTAAATTATCTCTGGAAAAAGCACTGGTAGGTAGAAATGATTTTAGACATGATTTAAAAAGACATCTGAGTCTGGATTGTATTCCAGACCTGCAGAGCATAACAACTTGAAGCTGCTTCTGAGGTTAGAAAAGGGTTAGGGTTAGGATTAGTGTATGCAGTCCTAATTTCAATATATGAACTTTTCTGTCTCTGACTCCTGATTTACAGAGGTGAAGCCTACAGACCTGTGCTTTAGTCCGGTGGAAAGGGGAACATGTGATGGGGCGGAGAAGAGGTTTGCCTTCAACTCTAAGACCAAGAGATGCCACGCATTCCACTACAGCGGCTGCGAGGGGAACGAGAACAACTTCCAGTCCCGGAAAGACTGTATCATCAAGTGCATCAAACGCAGAAAGGGTACGGTTATTTAATGTATTAGCATTTTCAAAATGCATTTTATAAAAACTGAATTGGAGTTAATTATTTAGTATTATTAAAGAAATGACATGCACCTTCAGTTAACATGTTCAATTGTAGAATATTATTTTTGTACGTTTTTTAGTTCAAAACAACAAAAACAAAATAAAGTTTTACACTATCATACATATTTCACTAAAGATTAAAAAAAATTGTATGTTGTAATTACTCTAGATTTGTTGATCAATTGTTTGGTCTTTCAAATATCAGAAACCATTTTACAATGTACATCCCAGTTTCTCAAAGTTTATGTTTTTAAAGGGCTTGTTCTTTAAGTCCAAACCCAAAAATATTCAATTTGATAGGATATTAATCAGATTAGCTTCTTCAAGAAAATCTTTGGTAAAGAATCATGGAATTAATACGATATATTTTCGTTCTGTTGCAGCTCATGGGAGGGGGACGATTCGGATAAGGAAGAAAAACCTGAACAGCATCGTGAATCGCTCAGTCTGAACACTTGGCTCTGAATTAGATCCTGCAACACTGTGGAGCCACCTGTATTTATGTCCATATGTTAAGTCTAGCTTTAATCATATCTATTGTTTTCTATGGGTGCAGTACTTGTATAAAAGTCATGTATTGTACCGAATTCCCTCGTAGAGTTTGAATGCAATTATAATCTTTATTTACTTTGTTTTAATCTTGACAAGGACACATTTGTCTTGCTGATCTCAACACTGATGCTGTGTGTATCAATGCTTGTTTTTAAACGTTATATTGTGTCATTTTTCTGAGTTTCAACTTCTCCATGCACTATATAACGCAACGAATATACAGTCCTATTTAAATGTTATATTGCAAAATGTTTTTGCCTGTCATAATGTTTCTTCACAAACGCAGAAGAAACATCTGTTTAATTAAGACTTAGAGAGTTGATAACCAATTTGTTTTGCCTCTCCGGTCTTCCATACTGTTATAATCATACTGATATCTTTTTTTGTGGGAAACGCCAAAGTTTAAGCATTATTCTCGTTCAATAACATGAATGCTTATTCTGCTTACAGTATATATTGTGTGTGCATAGTGCGTGATGTTTGTGTTCAAGGGTATTGCTATTGTTAATCAATTTGAACAGCAGCATTAGCAGATTAAACTGCTGGCTATCCGTATTCTAGGATCAACCACAACAGGATATGGAATGATGTCAGGCACACAGATTCATCAAGATGTCCTCACAGCTATAAATCGTTGTGAACAAGGTAATGACTGCTTTATTTTGGTCGGAATTAACATGAACTCTTTTTTCTTTTTAATCAATATTATGCAGTTTTGTAAATCACTGTGGCTCTCCTGCTGGTGTTGTTGGTAAGAAAAAACAGAAGGGGGCGGTGTTGTGTAAAGTACGTTTTCAAAGAGGTTTTCAGCACTGTCACTTTACTATATCTTTTTATTATAATGGCTGTAATGAAATGTAAGAGTATATATATATATTAAAGTTCAACAATCTTTCCTCCGGAGTTATCTGCTTTATTTCCCATTTTGTTACCAATTTGAGTTTCTTAGCTTCTAATATTCTGAATTAATACATAACTTCAAAAAAACTAAAACTAAATCCATGTTTTCATTGTTATTTCATGTGCATTTTGAAAACGGCAGGACCCTGAGAATTTAAAAAAAAGGCAGCAAGCTAAATGGAACTGCTGCTATACTATAGGACACCATTTGACGACGAACTGAGAAAAAAAGTAAAAGTAGTAGTAAAGGTAAAGATTGTTTGTTCAAGGAGAGTGTTAATTCAAACAAATTTAATTTAGTTTCTTTCATTTTCAGGGAATAAATATAAGCGGAACTGTACAAAATAATGAATGTAAAAAGGTAAATATGTAACAAGTTCATGCTTCAGCCTAAACGTTTGCACTCAGCATATGTTTGCAATTGCATTAACATGCAAAAAAAACTAATAAATCCATTAATTGTTTGGTCTGTAACATTTCAGAATAAAGTGGATATATAGTTTCTATCATATGTATTCAGTTTAATATGATGTAAACCAACAAAACAGATAAAAGAGGGAAATCTCCAGAATTTATAGGAGGAAAAAGCATTTTCTGTCATTTTTATCTATTCTCAAAATAGACTATCTAGAATCTAGTTGTATACATTGAAAATGACAGAAGTTAACAAATCAAAAGCTTTACAATAGCGTTCAAATGTAACAAAAATATTATTTTCATTATTATCATCGATTAATCTCCAAATTATTTTCTAGATTAACAGATTGATTGTTTGGTCTGTCAAATGTCAGAAAATGCCTATTCTAGTTTTTCAGTCTAAAAGTATGTATTGGTTTGTCAGTCCATAAAATTAAACCACAAAACAGATAAAAGAAGGTCATCTTCAGAATTGATACATTGAAAAACAGCATTTTCAGTCATTATTTTGCAGGAAAAATTGATTCCCAAAATAGTTAGCATTAACTATCGAGAATTCGACTAATCGTTGCCGCTCTAATGTGACATAACCATTACAATCGACACATTGTATCGGGAGGCTGACCCTCCTCAGTGTGTGGAGTGTGGGAGCTCCTCAGCTGTACTCGCGGTGATGTAACAGGAAGTAGTGGGTTGCATCCCGACGTCAACCTGACAGCCGCCTCAGCTGCTCACTGAGAGCCAGAGATCCGCCGTGTTCGCTGCTCTGCACCGCAGCCGAGGACCGGAGCCACTTTACGGGATTGCCTTGCGACTTTACCCCGGTCTGACCCCCCTGCGCTGCGGCTGGATTTTACTCACCGGTAGGACGCGCTGGGTGTGAAATGTTTGCGATACGCTGTTTTATTTTCCACGTTTTCTGAGCCATTGAGCGACAGTAAACGTCGAGCAGAATACACAGCGGGGTTGACAATGCGTTTTGTTCACCGCTGTGTGTTTATCCAGGTCATGTCAACTGTTTATGCATATTTTGCAGAGTCAGGCAATACGATGCAATGTCCTTAATCCATCGTAGCAGCAGCATGAGCATTCACAACTGCATTAAACTGCATTGTGCTTCTGTCAGGAGCTGAATGAGAAACATATGGATGCGATATAGTGGAAAAGACAGCAGTGTTGTGTGGGGTTTGGTCACCATATGTCCATCCAAGCGCTTTGTGCATGGTCATGTAGCCTATATCATATGCATAAAATATTCGGATTATCATTTATTTGCTTTACAGAGGTTGTATTCATGATGTGTACGGTTGTACGTCGAGTGGTGTTGTAAAGGTATTTTCAAGCTTTAGGGCCAACGGTATATTCAAGCTTCATGGACACGCGTAAAAGCCGTTTAAATGGATTAAAGTACGCAACCTTTTTTTAATCGCTCGGATTAGATTAACACTGTTGGTACACAAACTCCATCAATTTAGACATCCACTTGCATGGATGAATCAGATGTAGATAGGAGTGCTCCTGTACAATCCACCAGTCTTTACATCCATTCAATAGATACAAAAATAAATGTAAATACATGAAGGGATGACATACAGCCAGGCTTTTCAGGTTAATTGAACTGGAAAGAAACAGTGATTCATCTCCATTCAGAATCAGCACACAGGCTTTCATGTAAGTGGCTCGCTGGTTGCTAAATCATCTGCATGGTTACATAAGCAGCGGATTTGGACATGCTGGAAGTTTGTGGGCTGGGCAGTAAAAAAGGAAAAGGGTGGTGATGTTTATGTGTAGGAGTAGGATATGATGGCAGTGGTTACTATTGGTGATGAGGAAAGATAACTGGAGTCAGTATTAGGGAGGTGGCAGAGCAGAAGCACAGTCAAACCAAAGCAGATTGCTTTGTGGACATGGGAGAACTTTTCTGCCAACAGGTTAAAATTGAGTGTTGAACTGCAGAATTATCATGCAATGATGAAAGGGATTGTCCCCTTATTGCTTAATATGTGTATTCATAACAGTACAAGTTAACACTTTGGTATTGATTACAGTGAAAACAAAGCTATGGAGAAGCAAAAGCAGATTGATGGTTTAAATCGACAGGTTTTATGTGGTTTTCAGACCATGCCGTGCCATTTAAATTAGTTTAGAATTGCTTCACATTACAAAATATTTGAATCCCACAAACTAAAGTCAGTTCATGTGTGTTTAATTTGGGAAACTTAAACAACTAAGATTTGCAAGAAAAAGCACTTATTGTAAACTATTTGAAAAGGAAAACAACTGTCGGATGTTTAAAATCGATACAAACATATGTTGTTAATGGTACATTTCTATTCGAAATATAACCAATTCATGGCTAAATAAAATAACTTAAACTATGTTTTGTGCAAAAAACTTCTCTATGCATTTATTTAAAAAAAAAACGTATTCCTTGAATCCCACAAACTAAAGTCAGTTCATGTGTGTCTATTACCATCTGGCCGGGGACAACAGCTGGAAATTAGCCATGTCGGCTAAAGCTGCTCCATTTACTGTTTTTGTGACAGTTCATCGATGGGGACTGTCCACGACACTATATAAAAATTAACTAAACTAAACTAAACTTGAAAAACAGTTCATTAGTAACGTTTGGGTGTGGTATGATCATGCTTGATCGACAGAACCCTAACAGCCCATTACTGTCATCACATTTGATAACATTTTAATTGGCGACCATAAATACATACCCCGTACTTAAAATCTGTGAGAATATCTCATGTGACTTTGGCAGATGTTTGTGTTCAATTCATCAGTTGTAGTAAGAAAAGAAAGTGTTTAATCTCCCCTTAAATCCGAGCAGTGTCTACCTGTAAACTCCATCGCTAGCTGCATATGAGAAAGAGTTGTGAGCAGTTCAACCACAACTTATTTAAATACTGTTAAGAGGCTTGAATAAATGAAATTGTCATTTACAAGAAAAAATATATAGACTTTTAGAAGAAGTTAAAAAATATCATCCATCTGTCGATTATTTCCCACTCTTTTGGGGTCAGGTCATGGGGGCAGCAGGCTGCCTTAGCCATTAGCAAAAATAAGAACAAAACAGCATTTTTCTGTTGTTCTTTTTGTCTTGACTGATCTGTTGATCAGTGCATGACCCGTAAGATATATCTTACAGTTAGAAACTCCATAGTTGTACTTATCACAATGCATTATACATGGATATATTCCAATCCATCAATTGTAAGTTATTACCCTAATTATAATTATAATTTGTTATGGTTAAAATAGGTCTGGTAAACTGTGTCTTTACTCCACTGCCCATGCAAGTAAGCCATCAGGACTCTTGGACAGTGAACACATCAAAGCTGCCAGTTGGCATCGCTGCAGATGAGTCTGTGAGGCCTTTCTGCTCTGACATCTTCCAATGCCCTACACTAAATACACGAGCCGATTGTGCAGAGGGAATGTCATGCAACTCAAGGGATTCAACCCCCAAAGGGCCCTGTTGTGCGCTATTACATTTGTCCGACACAAAGGTCTCGGCTGCATAGCTTTCAGAGTCTTTACGATCTCCATGGTATGGTGGATGTCTCCCTATGGCATTTAGGAGGTGGTGCCAATGGAATCTCATTCACACTGACTGATACTGGCGTACAGTGGCTGTGTGGTGCATGGGGGTTGTATTTAGGATTCTGTTTCTTTGCAGTCAAGCAGTAAAGGGGAGATTTCCCTTTGTACTTTTCCTTTAGGAGCTGTTGTTGTGGTATTATAAAGGCTGTGTTGACACTGAATGGCCATTTTGCACTGATCGTGTCTATACGTGTGCTCAACTGACGCTATAATGGGAGATGCAACTTCCTACAAACACTTCTGGGAAACCAACTCTGATGAGTGTGAAGGCCACCTGACTCACAGTCAAGAGGAATGACGGTTCCCCGGAAACGTAACCCCTCATAAATCATCAAAGCCCACTAGACTACTGCAGCCTGTGTGTTATTGATTTACCTTCTAATATTTTCCCGTTCCTGCTGTGGACTGTGGTTGGGCCACATGTTGCATTTTTCTAACTACAACACAAGAACAACAACTGATGATTGCCATTATTCAAGTTTGTCCTACAAGATCTCAATCAATTAACTAAAAATGTTTTTGTATTAAACCTTTTAAAAATAAAACTGTACACCTTCTGAATGAAAGTTCCCCTCTGGTTTTGTCTCAATATAAATCCCTAATTTACAAAGTTAGATGTGAAAATATCCCGAATCTTCGCACAGTTTTTTCTCTTGGGAGGCAGACAATTAAATAGCCAATAAAAAGACAAAGAGACAAAAAGTAACAGCAATGTACTCAGCCAATCGCTGATATATTGGACGCTAATCGCCCAACAATTTTATGAACACTGTATGTGTTCTCAAACATATTTTTGAGCAATGGGAATGATGTATTTTATGGTCTTCCAGCTTATTTTATTTTCCCCTAAGCTCATTCATATTGAACCTTCACTGTGTTTCAGATCGGCAACCCAAGTATACATTATGTTTTTTTCTGTCTGCTTACCCAAGGCCAAAGTTATCATATTACACAAAAGCACAATGATGCACACATGCACCGGTCTGAAAGCGTTCCCCTTAGGATCTGGATTTAGTTTCGGGGATGTGAAACCTTTTGAGCTCATTTTTCCACTCATATATTATGGAGGGTCATTATTTTTCCCTCTCCAGTTTAATTTCAGCGCACAAGGTGCCTCATGAGAACTGTCATGGGCTAATGTCTTCTGAAGCAGCGGGGGAGCTTTGTCTGTGTGCAGTGGTTGGATGTGTGAGGTGTTTTTTCTTTTGGAGGACAGTGGAAATACGCTGTGTGGTATTTCAAAGGGTGTTCCATCTGTGTGTGAGCAAACCAAACCGTCAGCGACACAGGCTTCCTGATTTACTGCAGGGGGCTTCTGGCATATGGAATGAAGAGGAAGTGATCCTGAGTAGCTCTGTATGTCCATTTGTCTTCCAAAGGTGAACCTATAGTATTGTGTAGTGGTCATACTATGTGCACATTTGACTTTTACAATTATTTTTTGCTAGAAAGATATAGGGTAGGGCTACATGATATTGGAAAAAAACCATTGTGATATTGGTTTTTCCTGCAAAACTACTACATCAGACATTGTCACCAGATGAAAACTACCCATTATTGGTCATCTCTATCCTTTCTGTAGCCAAATTATTGTGGGCTTTTTGCAGCCAGAACCTCTTTAAAAAACATGTTTTTGTATTACTTGCTAATTTCCAGGTTGTGGTTAATGGCCATCAGGGTCTGCTTGGATTGTTTGATTCATCATGAATGATAAGGATTGGTGGTTCGCTGTGAATACAGAACCAACTCACTACCAACAAACTTCATATGCAGCCTGACATTTGCAGTGCACGTTGCAATGTCAATGGTGAAACAACATTGAAAAGCCCTGATATAAACCAACAAGGCGCCTCCTTTTAATTTCTTGTAACACAATTGCACTATTTCCAGCTGATAGACAGTGTTTTGGAACTCCGCCCTGTATTTTCTGCTGCTGGGATCAAATGTCTGCAGCAGACATTTCTGTTGCATCTCCAATTAGCTAACCTACTCTACTGTGAAAATGTGACTATTATTGTCAGGCATAGGCTGCTGCAAGCTGTGCCAAAAACCTTGCAGTTAATGGTTTCCAAGGTTAATGACTGTCCCAAATGACTTTGTTCTCTTTTTATTACCACAGTGTTTTGTTTTTCATACCCTTGATACTAGTCATTATCACAACTTGTAGCCTAACATGCATCATTTTGAGTGCAAAAGATAATGAATTATTGTAATTAGTTTCTGAAAACATACATGTTTTTCAGCCGTTGTT